TGCAGCAGCTGCTGGAGTTGGTAAAATGTAACTTTTGCTGCTTAACGTGTCACATCAACCAATCAGAGAAGCTGATCTGGGATCTGGCAGGGTGACGCACACAGCACTGCTGATGCAGAGCGCTATGATCACTACTCTGAAAAGGTTTATTAACGCCTAAACTAATTTAAAATGTGGAAACGTACATGAAAAACGCCTTCCAGCCTCGGTGAGCAGGGTGTGTGAGCGTGTGTGAGCTGTGATTGACACTCCATCAGACGCTCCTCTGGCTGTGATTGGTTGTTTTGGCTTTCCAGATTGAAATACAGGCAGTAGGCGGGACCAATTGAAGCAGTTTTTTTCACAGGTTACATATCACATGTACTGCTGTCTGGGCATAGGGACAGTTTTAGCCAATATGACAAAAAAGGGATTTTTAAAAACTTACAGACTTCAGCTTTAAGACGCGAGAAACCCGAATCTGAAGGAAGGAACGGCTTCAGCTACTTTAGGGCTAAAGATTTTTAAACTGTTTTATTGTTGTCCGTCCAGATAACCACAGTCAGCTTGATGTGGATGGATACTATTGTATTGAGTGAGTATCGCTGGGTGGTCACAGTTAACTGGTTATATATATTTAGAAGAGTGCCCTCCTCTGGACAACACTCTGTGGTACATCTATACCTTATGGACAAAGGACAGAGGACCAGAATGTTCACATTTTGGTTAAAGAAGACAGGTGGTTTGAGAGGAGCGTGAAAGAGGACATATATGTTAAGAGAGAAAAAACAACCTTACACAGAGGGGGGGACTCAGATTCCAGCTTTCAAAAACCTGCAATGCAGCGATGATAGAGTTGATTCCTTCCCGCTATCATGGCAACCCCAACCCCCTTACAGGGGAACAGAAGACCTCACCTATTCAGTCAGGCCAGCAATTCCCTCTAACAACCCCCCTTTCAGAGGCATAGACAGGTGTTGGGTGTTGCAGGCTATCAAAGAAGCCAAACGACTGCCCATCCCAAAGGGGTGGACCCGTTCGTCAGGTTCAATTTGCATGTTTTCTAAGCCAAAAGAAGTCTTTGGTTTTTGTCCACTCTATAAAGCCTCAAACTCTACGCTAATTCTGAGGTTTTGAATTGAAAACGCTTCCTGGATGGGAAGCAAAACGAAGTCCAGTGGATTTTTTTTTTTTACTTTTTTGGAGTTAACTGGTTAGATTGGAATGCTTCATTTAATCAAAGGTTTGTTTGATGTTGACCATAAATGTTTAAGATTTTTAGTGGTTCTGTGAAAACTTTTACTTCGCAGTAAAAGTTTTGAAGGTTGTTTTTTTTCCTACCAAGCACTGAGCTGAGCTACTATTTCCTCAGACTGGAACATGGTGAAAACCTGGAGGACAACCAGAGGAACCTGCTTCAGATCACCGAGCGCTTCTTCCAGGCCATAATCGGCTCGTCCAGCGACTTCCCGCCACAGCTACGCAGTGTTTGCCACTGTCTCTACCAGGTATTCCCTCCCTGACCATCCAGCCTCTCTGTCTGTAGCCATCCAAACACACTGTCGTTTAAACATCCTAGACTCCAGCCGCTTCACTTTGGCTCGTTTCTGTATCCGCCGTATCAGCTAGAAGGAATATTTAAGTTAAAAAGCATCAATGGACAGTTTAAGCTGAAGCTGACTTTAAAATCAGACCTTGTTTGCTCTGCTTCAGTGTTTATAGGATCTCCTTCCGCTGTAGATGAAATCCTCTGACTCCCTGATCCTTGGTTTGGATGAATCCTTTCACCAACCATCCTATAAACAACCAGCCAAATTCACATTTAGATAACTGTTGGAAGGAATGTCTTTTTCTTTTCAGACCTGCGCTTCCCTCACTTATGCTCAGAACCCATTAACTAAACCAACGCCAACTCCTGAGGCCGTAGAGATGTTTCTTCAGTAACCAATGACTGATTAGATCATATTTATCTGCAGTTCGTCATCCAGCAAAATTAAAGGCTATGTCACACTGCAGGCCTTAATGCTCAATTACGATTTTTTTTGGGGGGGGAAATCTGATTGTTGTGCATGGTTGTACACATTTCCAAATATTTGCGAATTGTATGTGATCTGCATTCACACAACTGTAGTGTCCCGCATGCGCATTAGAGGACGTAATGAGGTCACAAGCGGGCGTGCTCTGTTTACAGGAGTAAACATGCATGGTAGTGCTGGAGCATTTAAAAAGATCAGATAAGTATTGGATCAACGACCACATAGCAAAGAGACCTGGGTCACCGGATCTTTATTGTTCAGACTGTCATGAAAAGGTCAGATCCAGGTCGCATATGGGCGAAAAAAAATCTGATCTGGGTCAGGCTGCTGTGTGAACGTAGCCAAAGTTTGTCTCTGCTTTCAGAATATGGATCAGGGATTGTGAAGCCAAAGGGGCGTGGCCCAAACCTCAGAACTTCATCTGTCTGAGCTCCGCCTCTTTCTTCATCCTGTTGTGCTCCATCCTCAGCATGTTATAACCTGTGTAGGAAGTATTTCTAAGATTAGATAAACGCTTAACTCCTTCCGGTGAAGCTGTCTTTGCTTCAGCTCTGGGAATCATGTATTGTTACATGCATGACTTAAATTAACTCGCTGTTCCCTGTTAACACCTTTCAAACCCTCATTCTTTAAAATAATTAGTTTTCTTTGGATTAGAAGTATGAGTTTAAGAATAAATGCTGCTGCATCACAATATGGAAGCACGTCATTATCATTTGAGAAGTGGATCATATGGAAAAGTGTTTTGCTTTGAAAGGTACCTAAAGTAATCACCCAGTGATTTCAAGTCCATGTACTAATGGACTTTCTTATGATGCATATGGACTGAAAAACAGAACCTTGTGTTTTTTACAGAACAGCCATTTTTAAGCCGGTGCTTACAGTAACATTTGTCCTGCTCTGCCACATCATCTATTAAACTTTGTTAAAGGAGAAGTCTGGTCATTAAGGAATGATCAATGGATCATTATTTATACCAAAAACTAATATGTCTGTGGGGATTTAGTCAATTTAGTGATAATAAAAAAAAACAATATAATAATAATAATATTTGTCATCATGATCACTGAGTCCAGGAGTGGCCATTTTTGCCCAAATATACACTGTGTGCAGAATTATTAGGCATGTTGTATTTTTAAGGATTATTTTTATTATTGGGCCTCAATTGTGTTCTCAATCAACCCTAAAGACTCCTTAATATCAAAGTTTCATACTTTTGGAAATTGATGTTTGTTTTTTTTAGATTTGGCCATTTTATATCTGTGTGTGCAGGTAAATATTACTGTGCAGAATTAATTGGCAAATTAATAAAAAAACAAATATATACCCATCACACTTGTTTATTTTCACCAGGTAAACCAATATAAC